TTTAGCATACAGATCTCCTATGAAATGCCCTTGAGTTTAGCTTAATTAAATTAAGCATCTTTGTTTTAGAACTACAGGAGAATGCTTTGTTGACTCGGGGTTACCTTTGTCATACAGGCCTTTAAGAATATAGTAGGCCATGACTGAAAGTTTGGTGGGAGAAGCCCACCTCTACAGTGTACACAATGATAAGACACAATTTAAGCTAACAGGAAGCGATCTTTCCCAGTTTGCCTTCCCTGCTGTATCTGTGCATGTTTATGCCAGAGGGCTCTCTGAGAAGGAGACAAACATGTTGCTTTTGAATTTGAAGAAGTTTGGTCCTTAGTACATTTTCCAGTGAGATGCAGTTATGGAGGCCAGACTCCTGGGGTATGAGATTGGGGGCTTATGCCCTTATGTCTCCTCCTTCTATCCCCACTTAACCTGCATAACCACATGGAGATGCGCCAAAGCATCTAGTGTGTTAACCAAGACACTTACAGTCACCACAGGAAATTCTAGGGTTCCATTCCACCAATAATGAAGTCATGTCACTGCAGATAGTTTCCTGTGGAATGCCATGCCAGAGTAAAAAAAATATACTGGCACTGTGATTTTATTGAGAGGTGTTGGGTTACATGATTATAGGTAACACTGATCTCACTGATCTTACTAGTATCAGGACTAGCTCAAGTACATCTTCAGTGATGACTAGTTCAAGTACATCTTCAATGATCTGTCTGATTCTCAACTTCAGATGCCCCAAACTACCTCTCCATATGAATCTCATCATGTTTTAACCTCTTACTGCTTCACAATCTTAGTTTAGTCTCTTTTTTCTCAACATAAAATGTGAATAGTGGTTGAAAAAGAACTAAAAATGATCTTTTTCTTTTGAACCCTGCCCTGGTCACCTCACCTTCTTTTTTGTAAACCTCCAATAGTTACTTGTGAATAGTGAAGATCTACATTAATATTTACTGGCTGGTAGTCTATATTATATTCTGTTCATGAAGTTTCACTGAAAAAATTGACATGTAAATCTTAAATATTGTTTAACACATACTTCTTACTATATAACTTTTTTAAAAAGTAAACAAAAATTCCTTCAGCTTTTGCACAAAATATTGGATTGCTCATGTTAAAACACCATTAGGCATAGACAGGAACCAGTAACTCAAGCTTAGTACAGTAATTGACAATGTGTATCCTGGCTTTTGAGACTGTCCTAATAGTGTGTGGTGACAATTAAAATTAAAATTTACAACAAGATCTTGAGTCATTTAGTGAAATTAATATATTATATAATTATCATTAGGTAACAACAGGAGACCATTACAAGGCATCAAAATTCCATTGGAAGAACATTATCATGTTCTCAGACCTGCAGAGTCAGAGGGATACAAGGCTGTTTGGAGTGTTTTTCTCTTCTTTATACATTCAAAATTGTCCTGGTTTTATGTGGAAATGCCACAGCCTAATGAACACCCAAGATCACTGCATCACACGATGAGTGCTAAGTTCAGCATTTGGTTTTCAAAACTGAAATACGTGTTCTATACCATTTCTCATCAAATGCAATAACAAATAAGTGGAGTGGGGTTAATGCAATACCTTTTCAGGAATTACTAGGGGGAATGATAAAATGAAGAAAGAAGAAAATAAAAAATTAACTACAAATCGATAACCCTATTTTTATTTACTCATGTTTTTATTTATATACTCTCTGAACTCTATCCCTTTAATTCTAGGTAAAGAAAGTATGAATGGTAATTTCCACAGATAATTGAATATCTGTTCCATTGTAACAGCCATATGATAGAAAGAATTTGTTTTAAAGAATATGGTGTTTCAGAGTGGGAATTGTAACCTAATTTTGGATTCTTACCCACTGTATTTTTCTCTGTGTAGAGAGTCTCCTATGACAGCAATTAATCTTTATCACTTAAATAACTGGTGTGTCCGTGTGTTCAACTCTTTTTGAGTCCCTCAAATCTACAACAAATATGGTATAGAAAAACCTTAATGATGTGGGTTATGTTTGTATTGTTTATTATAAACACAGTGCATCACATTGTCACTTCCTGTTTTTAATTATGTGATGACTGTCCTGAAGACTACCAATCTCCCTTTGTCCCTCTTGCCAATGTCCATCCTCTGTGTGCCTCTCTAAGCATCATGATATTTTCACACCAGGCTTTAATGAAGACTTCTGTTAACTTTCTTTGTGGCTGGTAGAAACCATCAAAGCTGTGTGCCCAGCAGTCTTAACATCTGTCATCCTCTGTCAGCGTCCATCTGCTAGCATCCACCATCTCATTTACTACCCATGTCAAAGAGTGTGCCCATTTGCTTATGGTGAGTAAAGGAAGGCCATAGTGTGTCACTCTACCTTCAGTACTGGTAGCAGCCACGACTCATGGTTCAGCATACAAGTTTTCCAGAATCAATGATGTTTTAGGAGTGTAGTTCTGGTACCAATGTTTGTATCCTCCTTCAAAGTATACCCTGATATCAGTGGTAGCTGGTCTAATGACTATCCCTTTTTTGGGTATCTTCCTTCTTCATTGTCCTTACATCTTTGTTAGTACTACCTGAATGCAATAAAATTATTTATGTGTGTATGGGGGTCTATTGAGTATATGTGTGGCACATGTACATAGATATGTGGGCGTGTATGCCCCTATGGACACTGCAGAAGGCAGCAAAGGACACTGAGTGTCAGCAATCTCTGTCTTACGGCCTCAGGGCAGGTTCCCTCACAGAACCTAGAGCTGGGCTGGTAGCCAGTGAGCCCCAGTGAACTATCTGTCTCTGCTCCCCACACAGCTGGGCTTCAGGTGCACTGTGGCTACAACTGGCTTTTTATGTGGCATCCGGTACTCAAAGTCAGGGCCATGTGCTTATGCAGCATGTATCCTTACCCGCTGGGCCATCTCCCCATATCCCTAGGAAACTATTTCTGTCGGAATCTCCTGTCACCTGTGATTTCTTTGTATAATCCACATGTGCTACTAGAGATGGTATGAGGGAGTGGAGCCATTGCATGAATGGCTTCATATGTGCTCTCTTCAGGTTGCCCTTGTGGTGAGTAGGATTAAAAGGAAAATGCAAAGTGCACTCTCCCTCTCCCCTGGATTGGAGATTGTGACAGAAAATGATAATGGTCATGGAGCTGGCAGTCAGAGTATTATCTGTGATATGAAAGAAGCAAGGAAAGGTTCAAACTAGCCAATCAAACTCTCCAGACCTGGGTTGGGGAGGCGGCTCAGTGTTTAAGTGCTTGTGTGGAAGTGAGAGGGTCGGAGGAGTTTAGACCCTCAGAATCCACATGAATGACAGGTGGGTATGGTGATAATTGCAACCTTGGAGATGGAGATAAGGGATCCTTAGAGCAAGCTAGCTGTGGTGACTAGATGTATCAGCGATACCCGAGTTGACTGAGTGTGCCAGTAACATGGAATAAAGTGGAAGAGAAATCCAGGGTGTTTGATAACATCAACTCCAACCCAGACTTCCACATGCAAGTACATCTACATGTGGGTCTATACACATGCACAAACATACCTTTCTCTCTCTCTCTGTCTCTGTGTGTTTCTCTCTCTGTCTCTGTCTCTCCGTCTCTCTGTCTCTCTGTCTCTGTGTGTGTTTCTCTCTCTGTCTCTGTGTGTGTTTCTCTCTCTGTCTCTGTCTCTCCGTCTCTCTGTCTCTCTCTCTCTCTCTCTCTCTCTCTCTCTCTCTCTCACACACACACACACACGAAAATGAGAAGGAAAAAAATCTCAGGACTTGATGTGAAAGTCCCATGTTTGTAACAGCATTTAAAGTCTATTCAGGAAGACTACAAAACGTAGGCTCTATGTTTGGTTAAGAAGTAGCAGAATTGTAGAAAATGCTTATTCAGAGAACCAACCAGACTCATTTGACAAACTGAGCATGAAGAGAGAGAACAGGACCTGACACCTAATTTTGGGGTATGGGTGACTGACTCATTCGCTGTTGGGTGCTGGAACTTGACTAAATGTCCTTTCACAGTCCTTATGTTGAAAGATTGTCCCCACTACTGGAAGATGGTGGAGTCTTTGATAGGTGGAGATTTGTGGGAAATTTTTGTGTCATTTGAGGGATGCTCTTAGAAGGTATTTCTTCCTGTTCCTGGATCCAGACATAGTCAGGCGGTTCAGCTGTATAACTGCGTTGTAGTGTTTGTCTTCCCCAGATGCCAGCATCAACAGACTCAGTGAAAACTGAGTCAAACCAGCATCCTCTTTATATTGTGAGTTATGACAGATGTTTCCCAGGGGTAAGTCTTAGGGATGCTGCAGGACAAGCTTCAAAGGATACTATCTGTCTCTAAATATCTCTTTCCCTGTGGCTTCCAAACCACAAGCTGTGCTGGAGACTAAGCACAGACAAAGTGTGGGGACCTGACTGTACCTTAGGAGAAATGAGCTAGTTCTCCAAAAGCAATCGAAGAGCTGAGGCTATGGCTCAGTGGATGGGCATCCCACTAGTGTGCCCAAAGCTGTGGCTCTTCCATAGCATTGAGGATAGATACTGAAGAAAATGGCTAGCATGTCACACAAGGGAAGCAGAGGAACACTCCTATAAATTAATCCTAGAACGTGCAGAAATACACAACAAGGAGTAGAGGCTAAAGACAGATTTATAATGCCAAGAAAATTCACAACTAGTGCTCTATATATTGAGTTGAGAGATTCCATAGCTGAATTTAATTGTGTACTTTGACAGTTGTCTAGACATATTTCATTTTTTTCAGAAAATAAGTCTATATGGTTAAATGAGAAAGGACTACTTTAATGTCAGTAATTTACACAAATATCATTAAATGTGACAAATAAAAGTCAAATGTACAAGATCTGACTATGAAATGGTCACGAAGAGTGTGCCCAAAGAGTCATTTAATGGATCACCTGAGTGTGTCTCTTTTAGAAATTACAATGTAAGAAATTAGGCCCCTCTAAACAACACTTAAGCTAGATGATTATCCCACTTACCCTGACTTGACCCACGAAGGCATTGGCCTCTTCCTCCAGCACGGAGAGGTTCCTGGGCAGATAGGGATCGAACACAGGAGCGTTGTCATTGACGTCTGTCACCACCACGTTCACAGTGGCAGTTGAGGTCTTAAAGGAAGAGAGAAGAGGACTGTGAGAGGCAAAAGAGGATTTACTGTTATTTCAATCAAGAGTCCACACTGAGTTTTCTCTATCGGAAAGGCATCTTGGTCCTTAGCTTTCCAAAGAAAAAAGACATAGCACATAGAAGAATCATTTTGAAGCCTCAAACACCTCAAAAAAAAGATGGAGAAAGCCAATGGTGATATTAAAGGGCACACATCTTCCTGAGAACAGCAAGTACTTCCTGGAGGTTTACCTTCCAGGTGATGATACCTTTATTTAATTCCACTATATTTAAAACACACACACACACACACACACACACACACACACACACACACACACACCAAATATCATGGTGTATAAATAAGCATTTTCAGTCAAGATAAGGCTGTTGGAATATATCACCTTAGTAAATTTCACTGTTTACATTTAAACCAAGAATTTGAGCCCCACAAATTTTATTATTATTAAATTATTATGGATATTGCTGTGTTCTCAGTACCCAAACAGTGACATTAGTGTCAGGTAAGCCACCCATTTTTGTGGATGCTGCTTTCTTACAGGGAAATCTTGTCTTACTGAACTAGAAAAGGTTATAGAGGCTGAGGTCTTGGGATCAGTAAATTTGTCTTCGTGTGTGAACTTGAGTGTACATCTGCGGTGATATATTATTCATGAGTTATTAAAGCTAGCCTGAGGATTCAGAAAGCAAAGTCAGCCACAAGCCATAGAAGGCAGGCACACACCTTTAATCCCAGCAATCAGAAACTAGGAGGTGGTAATACACACCTTTAATCCCAGGACTCAGGAGATAAAGGCAAACAGATCTCTGTTAGTTCAAAGTCACCCAGGGATACAATAAGGTAAACATTGTAAAAGAGAATTATATCTCACACCTATAATTGAAGAATTAGGGAGGTATATAAGACAGGAACAAGGTCAGTATCAGAAATACACTCTTCAGCCACATTGAGAATAGGAATGTCCCAGCCTTGTTAGAGGTGAGAGCTCTCTGGTAGCTTGGCTGCTTCACTTTCCTGATCTTCAGATTGAACCCCAATATCTATCTCTGGGTCTTTTATTAATTTGTGTTATATGAGCCTCCATCTAACCTTGGCCTCTTCCTCCCTCTGTCTCCTTATGGGGTGGGTTACAGTTGGCAAAGAGCTAACACAGAAGGAAAGAACCAAAGCTTACAAGGTAGAGCATACAGTATGTTACGCTATTAAAACGCTTGATTGCCCGGCGGTGGTAGTGCATGCCTTTAATCCCAGCACTTGGGAGGCAGAGGCAGGCGGATCTCTGTGAGTTCGAGGCCAGGCTGGCCCGATAGCCTCCTAAACAATACAGAGAAACCCTGTCTCGTAAAAACCAAAAAAAAAAAAAAACAAAAACAAAAAACAAAAAACGCTTGAGTACAGGCCAATGAGATATAAGGAGAGATGGGAGAATAGAAATCCCATGAGAGCTTGGCCCAAGATTTGTCTAAGAAACTATAAACACACTGAGCCCTGAACACCAGAGAAAGTATTTATATAAACAGAGTTTCTAATAACCTGTAGGCAGTTTGCACTGAAAGGAGACACAGAGCGTGAACTGTAGTGAGTGATCCTATAAAGGCCGTGAGACAGTCAACAGGTGGAAAGAGGCAAAGTGGGCTTCTCAGCTGTCAGAATGGAATGGCCTGTGCGTTCTGTTGCAAACAATGCAGCTGCTTATGTGGCTGCAGGAGTAATGATTCAGTCCCAGCTTTCAGGACTTCTGTAATTTTAAACTCTCTCTATTTTAACAGAATCAAGAGCAATCTTGCATATAACTTTATCCTAACCCTCCGTATCTATTCTATGACAATGCCCAGCTGCCGTCAAAACTCACTATGCCTTACAGAGAGGTGCTGGTAAGTTTGTTTGTGTCCATTGATGGCTTACCTCATAACATAGAGCTACATACATATGATTTATGTGTATTTAATGTTCAACCAAACTCACAACAGCATTTCGTAGCCCAAATCTGGAAACTACCCAATGTCCATTCATGGCAGATATTTATAAGGTGTTTTATGCATGTGCCACAAGCAATGCTATAGTATAGTTCCAACATAATGTTGAGTGACAGGAGACACTCACTATCATATGTAGTTATAGGATTTCACTGACATAGGTGAGAGCCCCACACACAGACAGGAGTCAACACAGAGCAGCAAGAAGGAGGGCTGGAGTAAGCCCTAACTCATAGAAGTGTTAGATAAGTACCTAATTGTGGGATAATTTGTTTCTCGTAGTGGGCTATGCTTACATGTGCTTTCCTACTGAAGAAACTCATCACACTTTCCAGTTATGGTTTGTGTACTCTACGCTGTATATTTCCAATGAAATCGTTTAATTGAAAAGATGCTTACAAACAAACACACAGGTGTGCACATATATTGTGAATTTATATAAAGAAATTAAAATGTTTTTCTGACTAGACAGAGTACAGGTGTTTTATTTTTCCCTTGTAACATTTATATATTTCTCAAATGTTCTCCCAGAAAGCTACAGTGCTTCTGTAACAGAAAAGTATCTTAACAAATGTTATTTCTTCTCAAGTTATGTTAGAAGTGAAACCAGGGTTTTTTAAAAAATGTTTTTTACAGCAGCAGTATTTCCAGATTTGCCCCAGGGTGAGCGAGGTATTAAATTGGACAGCTTGAAGCTAAGATCTCATAGTGGCTGCAGTAGCGTCCCGTTTCTTCAAGCTCTCTGGACACCTTTGTGTTCCCCTCTGTCTTTCCTATCAGTCTATTATGTTTTAAGATTCTCCTTCATCCCATGGAGACACAGGCTTGTGGACTTATCTTGGATCCACTGTCAAAGACTATAACCCCTGGCTGGTTGGTGCACAGGGAACTGAGTCCCCACTGAGTCTGTAGAGGACAGACTGATGGGAGCTTGGGCATATTTTCCCATGTTGTTTTGAGTTTTACAGGAAAGTACAGGAATACACATTGCTGGGTAATTTCTAATGTATATGTTTCCTTAAGAGAGGGACAGCTCTCATGTCAAAGTTGTCTGGGTGTCAGTACTGCACATGATCCTGGCTACACTTTACATCCACTGGCACAGTCATAGACTGCCTGGCTATAGGACAAGATAGGTTCAGTTTTTACATTGGTCAGGAAGATGGCCACCGTGTGGTTTAGCATGGCTTCTGTTTCACACTAAGGGCAGATTCTAGGTTTTAAAAGTTAACTACCAGTAAAGGAACATAGCCGTGATAATAAAAGTATGATAAAAGGACCCTTCTCACAATTAATTCTGTAAGTCACTTTGAGATATGGCAAGTTACAAATATTAAACCAATAGACCTAATAAATAATATATCTATTCTTTTTTGTTGATGTTTTTGTTTTGTTTTTCAGACAAGGTTTCTATGTGAAACAGTTTTGGTTGTCCTGGAACTCACCCTTGAACTTACTGAGGTCCACCTGCCTCTGCCTCTGTAGTGCTGCGATTAAAGGTGTGTACTGCCACTAGGGCCTTACTAGTATATTCTTACTGAAGAATTTGTTTATTTTTAAAGTTGTATCACTTATAATCTTGCTAGATAGAAATCCTTCTATTTCAGTACTAAATACTATCATTGATCATCTGTGGTCATTACCTGTTTGATTACCACTGTGATTTTATTTTCTATAATAAATGGATGTTAATAGTGTATATTCTGTTCTCAACTAATGCAGGAAGTTGTTTCCATAGCAGCAGTTTTTATACACATATTTGCTTTGACTGTGATGACTCTTAAATAGATACGTATGTAGCAACCTTAGCTTTCTAGAAATTACATGACCTAGGAAGTAATGCACAATCATCCATGCAAAGAAATTCTCATTTAGAAAACATTATAGTCGGATCTGCATTATTTCTGCTGTTTTTTATGATATAAACTTCATTGAGCCTATCAAGTTATCTTCTTAAATTGTTTTAAAAATAGTTTGGAAGTAGAAGATAATTAAGATGTACAAAATTTAAGTGCATTAATTGGTAAAATGAATGATGATGCTTTTCTATTGATGTAAGTCTAAATGATAACATTTGCTTATAAACATATAACATGAGAATAGATGGAGAAGCACATGGACCTATAGATCGAACCCAGCATTCTGTACATGCTAGGCAAAGTCTATACCATAGGACTACCAGCGCAGATCTCCAGTCTTTTTTTGTTTGTTTGTTTGGTTTTGTTTTTCGAGACAGGGTTTCTCTGTATTGTTTCAGAGGCTGTCCCGGAACTAGCTCTGTAGACCTGGCTGGCCTTGAACTCACAGAGATCTGCCTGCCTCTGCCTCCTGAGTGCTGGGATTAAAGGCATGCACCACCAACGCCCATCTCTCCAGTCTTCTTATTAGAGTGTGAATCCAGTGTGAATGAGTATGGGGAGGAACTGGGAAGTATAGAGGGAGGGGAAACCTTAACTAGGATACAGGAGGTAAAAATCTGTTTTTAATTAAAGAATGAAAAAGAAGTACAATATTTTAAAAATAAAGTCAATTTAGATATAAATGAAAATTAAAATATTTTAAAGTACATCCTGAACATTTAATTCAGAATTTACAAATAATCACAAAACAAATAACCAAGATTGCAAATCACCCAAACAAAAATGGCCCATGGGGGAAGGAGGGCTGGGTATTTATTTGGCTCAGTGTTTAAGAATACTTATTGTTGCAGAGGATCCAGGTTCGATTCCCAGCATAGCACCTACCTGGTGATTTGCAACAGTAGCTCCAGTCCTAAAGGATCCAGTACTCTACACACACACACACACACACACACACACACACACACACACACACGCACGCACGCATGCACGCAGGCATGTGAACACTCACTCACACATATGTAGATAACACTCATGTACATAAAATAATAAAAAGGTAAGAAATTGAAAATAGGCCATGGCTCTGAACAGAGCCCTCAAAAGAAGAAATAAAATGGTTGAGGAACATCTCGAATATTATTCAG